GCCGCTCCACAGCCGAGAATCGACTGCCAACGCCGGTCCGCCGGGGATACTGCGCCGTCCCCGGCACTTCATTTCCATATTTCCTACTTCACATGCGAACCACATTAGTACAACATTTGGAAATCCCATTGAGTCTTCGGAGTTCTGGTGATGTCATCGCTCAGGCGGTCAGCCTGGCGCGTCGAGTCATGACGACCGAAGGACGCGCTGCCGAGTTTCCTACATCGCCCGAACGGCATTGAGCGGAGTCGGGCTGCACAATCATCGGTGGAAAACGGGTGCAGGAGTAACGATCTGTCTTGCCGCAGTATGAACTGACACCGCGTGCCTAGAGGCGCAGGGTGGGGCAGGTTATTGCCGTCGACGGGAGGGGCAATTCAGGGTTCCTCGAAGGTGAACAGCTAATACCGTTTGACTCACTGGCAGCTCCGGCGCGAGTGAAAATCCCGAACGGTTCGTGTGTAGTGATTACTTGCCTGTATTTTGTAAATGAAGAAAGTACGCACGTGCTATACAGGGTGTCCGGAAATTATTTGCCCCTCCATCAACTCGCCGCCATAATTTATCAACAAAGAGCCCCCAGCCCCCAGGTCATGGTTTATTTACCGATTTATTCCCTGCCCTGTCCTATTCCGTCATCCGCTTTGGCATTCCATAGATCAAGATGTCCAGAGTAGGGGAGAGTGGGGAAAGATGCCCAGGGTTTTGCTATGTCATATATTATTCGAAAATGACTATCGGAAAGCAAAAACTTGGAGTTTCAACGGAAACCGACATCATTTTTCTCCAAAAATATCACACTTTCGTGCCTGAAATATGATAACTTTTTTTACTATTAAACATTTTCCTGAAGAAGTGAAAGGGGGCATCTTACCCCACAGGGTGGGAAAGACGCCCCCTGGCGTTGGGGAAGATGCCCCCTGCACTATAAGTGACATAAATGAGCACGTGAATCGCCTGAACGAATCAGTAGTCCCTTCGAGCCTGCAGTAGACACCAAACGTCATCGTAAGGGCCCTCAAAAGTAGTCGTAAGGGGCTTCAGAGGTCATCGTTAGGGCCATCATAGTCCAGCGCCGCCAAACAAGCCCCCGTGGTGGCGTTCGGAGACCACTGTGGGGCCCTTATAGGTCTTCATGATGCTTGAGGGCCCTCGAGCCCATCGTGGGGACCTCAGATGCCAGCGAGGCCCGTGGAGCCAACGTGGGAGCCCTCAAAGGATGTCGTGAGGGGCCCTGGAGCCAATAATGGGGCCCACAGAGGCCGTCGTGAGGGCTCTCAGAGTCAGATGCCGCCCAAAAAGTCGCTGTGTGGGCCGAGAGACCGGCATGGGGAGCACCCGACCGTACTGGACTCTCTATAGTCCCAGATCGGCTTTTGTCTCTCATCACAAGTATGTAATAAACGATTTGACGGGCTGCTTGAAGGACAGCCTACGGATTTAGGGGGGCGTCTTTCCCCATCAGGAGAGGGGGCATCTTACCCCAAGGTACCGAAGTAACATTAACCCTCGCCCTGGCAGGGGGGGGGTCGATGCGACCCCCCCCCCTAAGGTTTTTCGAAGATAGCGTAAAAACGGCGGCGCGCAGCGCCGCCAAATTTGGCACAGCTTATGGGGCAACCTTTTTACATATGACCTGAAAATTTCAGGTCCGGGTGACCTTGGGTCAGGTCACCAGGTCAGAAAAACCGGTACAAGGTCATGGTCAAATTTCAATTTTCTTTTTGCACCTGTCCAACTCACAGTTTTGCACTGATTTCCTTCAAACTTTCAGGATGTGCTAAGTTCACCGAGTTGTATAACATATAGTTCGGGTTTTTTGAGGTCACTGACCTGAGGTCAGTTAGAGGTCATTACGTCGTAATGTTAAGCCTATGGGAAAATACTTAATTCGGAAAATACTGGAGATATCCGCTTCGTTCTACCACTTTTGTGCTTTGAAACCACAGTAATTAACAGCAGGTCACTTGGTGCTTCTTTGTTTGGTGTACTTATCCATGGGTCAGGTCAAATGAGGTCAACTGAGGTCAAATGACGTTTTTGCCAATAACTTGGCACATAATGACGCTAGAGCTTAAAAAATGGTATCATTGTGTTCCTGGTGATCAGCCGAATCGAATGATATGCGATATGATGCAATTTGGTTAACTTTAACTTAATTTATTAATTTAAGTTTACTTAAAATTTAAGAAAAACTTTAAGTACACTTAAGCAAGCTAAAAAGTATATCATTCGACGCGCCTTGACGTGCTGAGTTCACTGGTGCTTTTCTTTTTGCTCTATCTTAATTAGATCAAAAGTTATAAGTGAAAAACTTTTGACCTGTTTTTAGCGAAATTTTTGCATTTATACCCCCCAAAACCCCCCTAAATATTGACCTAGAGCAACCAAATTTGCACAGGGGCGAGAACTCCAGGGGGCCCACCTACCTACCAAATTTGGTGTTTCTAGGTGCCATAGGAGCCAATCGCGAGGGGGGGGTCGCATCGACCCCCCCCCTGCCAGGCCGTGTTATGAAAAATGCCCTGCCAGGGCGAGGGTTAAATCAGTACAATTTGTTAGCCATAAAACTACACCCTGAAACAAACTATTTAGAACACAGTATACGCATGTTAATGTATCACGACTATAGCAAGGGACGCAAAAATTATCTACCTTCTTTGATATTTACAATGTTTTGACACCAAAATATTTTTGAAAGCAGCAAGTAAAAAACATGCAATCACCAGCCAGCCGTTGCCCAACTGAGCTTCGCAAATTTTTGTGCAGTTAACAAGGCAGGCTTCCGCTTTACGCTAAGAACATCAATTTCCAGGTTCCATTTTTTTGTTTCGCCAATAGAGGGGGTGCCCCACCCCCTGGCATCTTACCCCACTCTCCCTATCCGCGCTGATATTCAGCCACACCTTTCACAGGTTCCTTTAAAGTCCGTTTTCTGTGGGAGCTGGTTCAATCAGGCTGAGCTCCCCCTTCATGATCCCCACAGGGGTTCGATTGGGTTTAGGACAGAGCATTCGATTTGACTTACTACTTCATTCCAGTCTTCACCACAACTTAAGGCCTGGCTACACTATGCGTTTTCTGCGTGCGTTTTTTGCGAGTTTGCGTGTTTTGCGTAATATCGATCCAGAAAAAGGTTACTATTAATTCAACTTCTTTAATATTTATATAAAAGTTAATAAAACGTGCATATTAACCCGGCCGGGCCCGGGGGGTAATCCCAACCACCGCAGCCCGGGGGGGGGGCGTTTTTCGCCCCCCCCTGTCTAACTCCATAAATAAGGGAGCTACGCAAACAAAAGCGATACCAAACGAAAGGTCCTTACGAGACGATTCTAGGGCACCTAAAATTTTTGACCTCAGGTCAATTTTCAACGTCAGAGGTCAAGGTCAAAGGCAAAAACCGGCACATGTGTAGTGATCTCAAAGTAAGCCTTCTAGAGGACGGCAGGATGCATCAAACCGGCAAAATTGGGTGTCAAACGAAAGAAAAGAATCTGAGGATTCCGAAAATGTGCTCATAATCAAAGGTCAAGGTCAAGGTCACGCCCAAAATTGACCTCAAACTTTGCACTTTTTCGTACATCTTGCGTGCTAACTTCCAAAATGTTTTGAAATGTTTTGAGGCTTATCAGTTCCCTATTTGTGGTTCATCTTACGATACAAGGCTGCTCAAAGGTCAAGGTCACAGAAGAGTATCCTTGCTAGAGGCTATTTCACTGATTCAAGTTAGTAATAATAAATAAGACAATTTTGCCATCCGGAAGCTCTAAATGAAAGCTTAGAGGAAAATAGATGCCAGATTCGTGATCAGCGGGTACAAATTCATCATGAACGACCTTTCATGTGTCAAGGTCAACCAAGGGTCATTCGAGGTCACATGAGGTCAACATAAAATTTGACCTTTTCCAAACAAAATATATATCATTCGACGCGGCTTGACAAGGCGAATGCGATGGTGCCACTGCCGTAGCTCTAGGACCATTTTTGTCGAAGTTATTTGCGAAAAACTAAAGCCACATTTCGGGGTCGTTGACCTGCCCTCTGACCTCAGGTCACCGAAACTATTTTTCTATTTTTCTCTAGGTCAAACGCTACACAATCGTTTTCGTAATTTGTCTTTATCTCTAAAACTCTATTTTTAGCAGCTATTTGAAGTTCGCGTCTGTGACGCCGAAGTTTGCCGTGCAGGGGCTTAGAAAAATCGACCTTGTGACGTCATCAAGGGGGCTAGGTCCAAATTTTTTACTACAGAAGATGTCAAATGGATGGGAGAAAAGGTACTGAAAGTTTCGCCTTCCTATCCCTAATCGTTCGGGAGCTATCGCAAATATTCGCCAGGGGGGGGGGGGGCGAAAAACGCCCCCCCCGGGCCCGCGAGGGTTAATTAAACGTTTATGTAAAAAACATATGACAAAAACGTAATGTCGTTTCTTTCTAGAACGATATTCCGCAAATCACGCAAACTCGCAAAAAACGCACGCAGAAAACGCATAGTGTAGCCAGGCCTTTAGGCGCGATGACGCTTGGTCAAAGAGTTTCTGAGATGTTAAGTTTTATAAATCGTTAAGAGCTTGCTGAATGTAAGGCACTTAAATCGTTTAATTGTTTTTAACGACCTTACAAAAATAAGTTTTTACATCTATGTACTTTTTGTTTTGTTTTAGATGAAGTTATTTTGAAGATGGATACATTCTTGTATAATTCTTAGAAATATTAGAATTTGCCGATGAATTTATTTTCCTTCAAATTTGGCATTAATGCGATCATAGCCTGTGGCCGATAATTCATCTATGTGAAACAAAAAAGTACATGAATGTAAAAAGGTTAAATATGTAAGGTCATTCAAAACAATTGCTTTTATTCTCGAAAAACCGCAAAGGTTCGGCGATTTCGGGCGCTGCGGGGGAGGCATGTGCCCCAAACGCCCCCCTCCCCCGCATACGCCAGTGAGGAATAGTGTCTTCCATTTCGACGGGCCGAATTGAGAGAAAGCTTGATGCTTTTCAAGAGTCTATTTTGTGAAATCATTTCCTCCTTTATACCACATTAACTGGCATTGCAGGTATTCTCATCATTCAGCCAGTATTAGCATTGATGCGTTCTTAGCATCAAAATTGTTTGATAAAGCTCGGGCCAGCGGATCTTCTACAGCATACCTAACGAATATTCCAACAGGACAATTGATCGGAATATCACTGACTAGTGGTTAACCAATCTACGCATGCGGTCAAACACACTATAATATTACGTAACGGCCACACTCGCTGTTTTCACAAAGGCAGCTTGTGGGCGTTGCACATCGCGAAATTCACCGGGCACCGACCAGCGTCACAGCATGACCTTATCATTGCACAATGCACGCCATATCCTGCCCAGCTAATCACTATTAGAGGGAGGTCAAGACAGATTGGAAAGCACAGTTGCTGTCCCAAACAACGCCGAGTCACTCGACAAACTCGGCAAAGCAGAGGCTAGTGTTGGTCCCACCGAATCCGAATGAGTTTTTGAGCGCCACCCGGCGGCCGGCGGTTCGCCAGTGAGCCGCGCGTGGCGGCACCACCAGCCGCACCCCGTCCACCGGCTCCGGGTGGGCGAGGTTGGCTGTCGGCGGCACCAGGCCGTAGCGGCACGAGAGCGCCGTGGCAGCGGCCTCCACGGCGCCGGCCGCCGCCAGCAGGTGGCCCAGCGAGCCTTTGCACGAGGTGACCAGCGGCTGCGAGCCGGCCAGCAGCGCGGCCACGGCGCCCAGCTCGGCGCGGTCGCCCAGCGGCGTGCCGGTGGCGTGCGCGTTCACGTGCGTCACGTCCCCCGGCGAGACGCCAGCGTCACGCATGGCGGCGGCCATGGCGCGGCGCGCTCCGTCGCCGTCCTCGCAGGGCGCCGTCACGTGTCGCGCGTCGCCGGAGAGGCCACAGCCGAGCAGCTCGGCGATGGGCCGGCCGCCGCGGCGGCGCGCGTGCTCCAGCGTCTCCAGCAGCAGCACACCGGCGCCCTCCGCCATCACAAAGCCGTCGCGCGCCGCGTCAAACGGCCGCGACGCCTCTGCCGGCGCAGCGTTGGACCGCACGCTCAGCGCGCGCATCTGCGAGAAGCCGGCCACGGCGAGCGGCGAGACGCCGGCGTCAGCGGCGCCGCAGAAGGCCGCGTCGGCGGCGCCGGCACGCAGTAGGCGCAGCGCGTCACCGATGGCGTGCGCGCCGGTGGCGCAGGCGGTGGAGGCGGCGTGGTTGGGGCCGCGGCACCGCAGACGGATGGCCACCAGCCCGGCCGGCATGTTGTGCAGAATACGGGCCGCGAAATGCGGCGACACGCCGCGCGCACCGCGCTCCTGCAGCCGGCGCGCCGAGGCGGCGATGTCCTCCAGGTCCGGGGAGGCCATACCGATGCACACAGCCGTCCGCTCCTGGTCGGGTAGGATAGACGCAGTGACTGGATTAGCAGAGGCAACTATAAAACACATTTGATTTTGTTTTGTTGGGTTAGGCCCTTTCGGTCCAATGGGACCATTTCAGAGCCGGGAGGATGATAGGATATAGGGGGAGACATTGGTCTGGGCAGGCACCCTAGTGAGTCGCCGGGGCTGAGCCCGTCCAGAGGACAGGCCACCCAGCCCCAAGGCACTCCCTGCACCCGGCTACGGGGTGCGCTCCCTCGGGAGCAGCGGTGCCGCTCCAAGGGAGCAGCCCGCATGAGATAAAGTTGCCTGTCCAGCCCGGAGACACATTTGAGGCTCGAACAAAGTTATGCCGCCGGTAACACACAATGCTGAATCGTTACAATGAAATATAAAAAGGTGAATAAACTGAATAATGTCTACATTTTTAATCTGCCTCTTTCCAATGGCAAACTGCCAGAAACTAAAGATGCATCGTATACATGATTCTACAAAAAGCAATAAATAGGGTTTAGCGTTGTACTTAGAAAAACACCAAGTAATTTGATTACCTATTCCCGTTCAACCCACGGTCCATGCCGACACAGCGGACGCACCTGTTCGGTTTCGGTGCGCGGCCGCCAGCCAGCGCTGCGAGCGGCCTCCTCCGCCGCCACCACCGCCAGACAGGTGGCGCGACTGAGCGAGCGGCGCTCCGAGGCGGCGAAATGGTCGGCGAGGTTCAGCTGGCCGGCCGCCGAGCCCTCGGGCACCAGGCCGGCCACCCGACTGGGCAGACCCGCGAACTCGGGGCCGGCAAGCGGCACAATGCCGACATCACCGCGACACAGCCTAACAACCACCCAGCGGTCAGGACGCAACTATTGAATACACAACCATCAAAATGGCATCAGAATACCAACGTAAAACAGGCAAACAAGCTGCCTTTTGTGGTTCTCACCTGTCCCAGACATGTTGCGAGCCGCAGCCGAGTGGTGTGACAAGCCCCAGACCGGTGACAACGACTCGGCGTGCTGTGGACCAGCACACCCCGCTGACTCGTACCATCTGGATCTGAAGCATAAAATACAGAATGCCATTCAAACAAAATCCAAAAGGAGTTTGCCTCCGATAGGGCAACAAAACTATTTATCAGTCAATGACTGCAAGTTAAACACTTTCAAGTTCCAATGTTTCTTCTATCCCGTTTCAAAAGTTTCAGATGTATGTTGAAATTTGTTACACATACCTAGTTGCATACTTCATAGGCTCTGACCCCTACTGTCTGATCATGTCAAGGTAATTACTGGGTATCAGGAGAGTTTAAAAGCTGAATGAAGGTACAATGCCTGTTGATGTGCAAAGAAGGAGACGGCCGGTACACTCGGGGGCAGATTGATGTTCCACAACTCCCCACCTATCGGGCTCCCATGGCTCAGCACTGGCTGCTGCCAGTGGCAGCACTGGCAGCACTGGCACTGGCAGGCAGTGCTGACCAGTGCTGAGGGCAGGCAACACTAGCAGCAGCCAGTGCTGAGACATGGGAGCCCGATGGGTAGGGAGTGGTGGAACATCAATATGCCCCCGAGTGTACCTACTTAATCCGCCGCGCCGGCGCACGTACGAGGGGGTACCCAAAAGTAACGGGAATCGTTCTCTGTAGGCCAAGCCAGTTGTAGCTCGGCATTGCCCTGCTAGGGGCAAACCAGTCTGGCCCCTGGGACTTAGTCTGCACCGTGAGGTGACGAAATAAAGAGGCGCGGCCGCGTGGCGCACGTATTTATTGAAGCACTCCCGCCCAATCCGTCGTTTTTTATGCATAGCGGAACTGAGCAACAACGCGCATCTGTGAAATTTTGTTTCCTGCTGGGGAAGTCCGCGACTGAAACGGTTCCAATGCTTCAAGTAGCATACAAATATGCTGCCGTGAGCAAGACGCGGGTTTATGAATGATTTTCGCACTTCAAAAGTGGTCAAATGTTATCCCAAAAGCGCCCCAAAAAAGCTTGCCAAGTGAAGTCAAATGTCAAGACAATGCTGATTTGTTTTTTCGATGCAAAGGGAAGTGTGCAAAAGGAAATTGTTCCTCCCTGGTCAAACTGCCAATCAGACGTTTTACTTGGACGTTCTGCGGCGTGTGTGAAACACGGTGAGACGAAAACTCCCCGACAGGTGGCGAAGCGGGGAGTGGTGATTTCATCGCGACAGTGTGCCAGCGCACACCGCCTTGAGTGTCAGACAATTTTGGACAAAAAAATGCATGACCCCACGGATCCACCCTCCCTATTCACCGGATTTGGCACCCTGTGACCTTTTCCTGGTCCCCAGAATGAAAAAGACCTCAAGGGAAACCATTTCGACGACTTTGATAAGGTAAAAGCAAAAACGACGATGGCTCTGCAAGGCATCACCTTGCAAGAGTTCCAGAGCTGCTTTGAGAGCTGGAAAACGCGTCTGCATAGGTGCATTGTCTCGCAGGGAGAGTACTTTAAGAATGATATGAGTGACGATGTGTAGGGATCAGTGAATAAACATATATGAAACAATATCCGTTTCTTTTGGGAACCCCCTCGTATGTCATCTGGCTCCTGTCCTGTCCTAGTTCTCATGGCCACGTGTTGAGAAAGTACCTATGAAGGCTGAGACCAGTCTTGTACGGGACTCCGCCAGTGCGACACGGACCAGTGTGCGACTTAGCCAGTATGGCCTAACGAGTACAACCAGTCTTGGACGGGACTCTGTCGGTGTACAACCTAGGGCCCGACGACGTGCGATGGACATGTTCTGATCATTTGGCCACTTCCAAAGCAATCTAGCATTGACATTTACACATAAATGAACAACATTTTTATGTGGTCCTCCGGGTGACAAACCCATTCATCGATCGAGTACACATACAAGCGCACCGAGTGAACAAACATGAAAAACATGAACTATACCCATCAAAGCCAGACACAGCCTGTCCCGCTCAACAAACTTCAATTGACTGCGACCTCTGTCACCAACTGATGACAATCCAAATAGGGAGCCTCAAATCATGATTTGGATACAGAATGCCCAAGCAAATTAAATCCTGGCACTTCAGCCTTTGAAATCTGCCTGCCCAGTGCCCAGTAAATATGCCAACGTCGGCCCGGCGTCGGCAAACATCGGGGTAGCGTCGGCATCTCGGCATCGGCATGCCGACGTCGGATTGGATGTCGGCTGAACGTCCGTAGTGCCTCGGCTGGGCGTCGGTCCAACCAAGGTCCAACGTCGGTTGTACCTCAGGTTGATAGCGTGGAGACGTGGGCTGTACGTAACCCGGCTGAACGTCGGCTGAGCGTCGGGTTGACAGGGGGGAGATGTCGGGCCGACGTCGGCCCAAAGTCATCTCGGCTCAAATTCTCGGCAAACGATCTCGGCCCGACGTCGACTAGGCCTCGGCTGGACGGCTTATTGGCCTCTCATTGGTCAAATGAACAGACCACGTGAATTTGGCCAATGAGGAGCCAAGAAATAGCAGCATGCTGGCTAGCAGCCTGCTGATAAAAAACTGCGACCGAACAGGGCCCAGGCATAAGACATGACTTTGAGCCACGCAGTGTTAACTAATAACTTGGACTTTGGAGTCAGTGTCAGACAGTAAGATTTAAGTGACTCTTATTCTGACTCCTGGCAAAACTGCTAACTCTGACCGACTCTGACTCCAGCTCAGACTCCGCAGCCCTGTGTGTAGGGGTTCCAACTTCCAGCATGCACATGTGGGGACAAGTTTCACATTTCTGCCAAGTTATTGATCATTTTTGCATTTTTATATCCATACTCATCATGGCAAAAAGCACCATCTCACATATTAAAAGTTAAAAGCCAATAAGCTCAGATATGAATCAATTAATCTAAGAACAATATCAGGTTTCACTGAAACTTTATCAAGTTTCACTGAAACTTAAATTTAAATCCATTCAAACTGAAACGTGAACTGAAGGTAGGTAAAGGTCCAGGTGAAGGCATGAAATGTAAACGCACGTTAGGTATTAAGTATGAGCATTAGGTATTGAGTTCAGTGATTGAACCTCACCTTCTTATCCAAAAGGCCAAAGCCGTGATCAATATTCTTGCGGTGTTAACATGACAGATTGAATAATTCTGGACACTACCGAGCGATAAACATAGAAGAAAACAATATAAACCCTATATATTGAACTGTGTCAAAAACACGGCATACCAATACACCCACACCACAACACCACAACGGTTGGTTGGTTGGTTTGGGTTTAGCACCACATCCAGTGGACCAAGGTGCTAACCGGAACTCTCACGCTGTTCCAAGCGGTCAGGTAGCGGCAATGCCACGTGCATCGCCCGGGAATCGAACCCGGATGGCCGAATCTACAGGCAAGTATCTTACCCCTAGACCGGAATGCTCCCCTAACACCACAACCACAACACAAAAAAATCTTGTTTTGTCTATGTTGCGCTGTTTTTGTTTGGGACTATTGCTACCATTTCCCAGGATATGGTAGCATAAAGTTTAGTTTTTTTTTGCAAAGTGTTTCTAGAGAGTAGTAAAGTAATCTTGGTTTCTAGATTTGATGTTTTATATATTGCTTTTTTATTAAGCCAGTTAGCTATTAATCATTCTATCATTTAAACTATTCAATTTGAAGGATTTTGTTAAAAGTGCCCTGTATTATTGCACATTAAGGTAAAAATACCTCGAAAATATATTTTTCTGATGTTCTTTCCCAACGCTGTAAACGTCCTTTTGGTTGCAATCATGGCGACTCTCGACCATCAGGTAAACAATCTTCATTTAAACTATTGTTTTGGTTAAGTTATCCATTACAACCGTAATTGATATTTTTCTCGGAATTCGCAAATTATGGATCGTTGAATCTTAGCTGTTTGGCCCAATTCAGATGATGTTATAATCCGTTTTCAGCGTTATCGGTTGAACTCTGCCTACATTTTCGTATTTTATGTCAGTTGGGGAAACTACAAGGCGAAAATCAAAAAATTGATTGGTCAATAAATGGACTTTTGATGACCATATATGGGCATAAATGCAGCCCCCGCTGCTAAAGGTGAAAAACGGTATAACAAGCCGGTACTTGCGGTATCGCGTCCACTTATCAGAGAGAAAAGGCTTCCATTTTCCACTTGGAATTAGCGTGATTTGATTGAACTCGGCGAATTGGCTCGAAAATGACGATAGGAAAACGGCTTTTCTGCAGGTTCAGGGCGTCACAATCAGCTGGCCAAGTCAATAAATGGATTGGTGTTTTGAAAGAAAATTGTTAAAAGATTTAATTTAATTACAATAAACAAAGATATTTAATTCTAAAATAATAACTTAACCACAATTAGAAAAACCATAAACAAAATAATAAAAATAATGACATTTTTAAACCACGGTACTGCTTACATTTTTTGGCGCGTCTGTTTCAATCCGCCATATTTGCCAATCACTGATTGACCTTGTGTTGTAACTCTGCGATTTAGAGCCGCCGGTTAATTGTGCACCGAGTGAGTGTGGGCCTTGTGTGGTTAAAAAACATTCTTATGCCTTATTTTTTTCATTTGAATGCTAGGATGCATTGAAAAGATGAAGTTGTCTGATTTTATGACCATATATGGTCATCGCCCCGCCCACTCCAGCTGTTGATTGGCTAATCCAATTTTTGTTTGGCTCCTCGTAGTTTCCCCAACTGATGTGGAGTACCTATATCTTAGAATGCAATTGATGTTACTTATATCCTGGATTGCGCCTAATTTCATTTGAATAGTTTTTAAGTCCCTAGTAGACTGCAAAGTATGGTAGTTTTTGAAATTTCTTGCATGCACTGGCACTGGGCCTCCTTGGTCGCCACACAAAGGCATACATTTGTGAATATCGGGTGCAGGGCCTGGCCTAGGTGCTTAAGCATGAATTGGTAACTTATGTTGTGTATGCTGAGAGCTGATGTTGATGTCTTAACTTTTAATTTGGCAGTCACTGGGGTACATTGCCACCTACCATTAGCTGTGTGAGGGTGTTATACACTTCTAGCCAATAGCTCGAGAGCCAATAGGCACATCAAAATGCACAAGGCGGCAAGTGAAAGAACTGGAAGAGACACTTCAAATGAACGCTTGAAAGCTGAATTCTGAAGTCACAGGCTGGTTCAAGGTTATACGAATTACGAAACATCTGAAATGGTCCATTACTTTTAGCAACATGGACTTAAGAACTCTACTGGGCATCTCTTATCATAAATCTTGTAGAGGCTGTACTTTCTTCCATAGAGGTGCTAAAGGAGTGGATCCATGTAGGGGTCAGTTGAGGATAGGTCAGATTAATCAGGTAAAAACATACCTATCCATGAAAATCAAAGCTGCTGGTATTCACAGCATATGACATACCTATTTCATGGGTAGGCACTAGATACTTTAAGGCATATGACTAAATGGTGAGAATGATTTAGCATAATGGTACTTGTTTGGTAAAAAAAAAGATTGATTAAAGGGACTATCCCACCTTTAACATGGGGTTTGAGTTGAGATAGCCAAGTTTGTGGCGAGGTTCAGAAACCACTATCTATCTAGGTTGCAACCCCCGCGGCCTCTTGGTGTTGAAGAAATTTGTTCCCTTCATTTGAAAATGGGCCTTGTACAAGGCCCTATCTTCAACATTGAGCGACCGTTAGTGTGACGTCACCTCGTTTAGTCATTCTGATTTAAATGGGTTTGTTCGTTGAAAAATCGCTTAAAACTTGGTCTGAACTTTGTGATGGTGCCTACAGAGTAAAAAGAATCAGCTTTATGACAGTAATGTGGCCTGGGGAAGGAGGTAATTTTGGGCTGTGACGTCACATATTTGAAAGTTTGTGTTTGGAATATGGGAAGCCTAAGATGTTTAATGAAAAATAAATGCCAGAACCGTGTTCCTAGCCATCCAATCTATAAAGTCGGGCACAATTTAACTGGTTTTAACAACATTTTAGAAGGTGGGATAGTCCCTTTAAAGAAATTAATTCATCATTGTGTCATGAAGACAGTAGCCACAAGAAATTGCATAAGTTGAGTTCAGTTGATTTTGATTTTGGAAAAGGTAGGATGATAAAACATAAAAGATAGCCAATTAATTATGCATAATATTGGCAGTCTAATGGAGGTTGCATCCCTACTAGCTAGGCATGCACTCACATCAAACTGGGTGTACATCTGGCTTGCAGGTACTATGCTTTGCAGTCTAGCATACAATGCAATAAAATTCACTGCCTAATAAATTAGTAGGTAGCAAGGCCTTACCACCAGTTGCTAGACTCTGAACCAGTCCCCTTTGATAATTGGAGTTTTTATTTTGAACATCTCATTCAAGAATAGGCTGTTTCATAATGAGTAGAAATAAGTTTATGTAGTGACTCATGATTGCCATAGCAAAAGTTTACTTGCTTGTTTTCTTCCTACAGACTGAGAGGGCTTTCCAGCACCAGCCCACTATTAACCTGAACAAGAAGGGACAGAAGGGTGGAAAAGCCCTCAGATACCACAGAAATGTTGGTCTTGGTTTCAAGACTCCTCGTGAGGTAAGATTCATTTAGTGTTGTTTAAATGAATTTAGCGAGCTGCTTACGTGAATATGATATGAGAACCAGAAGTATTTTGCTGGTTGTATTATATCCACATTTTGTTATGATGTTTGAGTTTTTACAGTCACTTTCCAGTTTGTAACATTGTTTTGTGCTGATTTGTGGCTTACATCTGCTCCAGCCTCCAAGACACTAACATTGGTCGTTTTTGTGCTGTACAGGCCATCTCTGGCATGTACATTGACAAGAAGTGCCCGTTCACGGGTAACGTGTCGATCCGCGGCCGAATCCTGACTGGCGTCGTGCAGAAGATGAAAATGCAGCGCACCATCGTCATCCGCCGCGAGTACCTGCACTACATCCGCAAGTACAACCGCTTCGAGAAGCGCCACAAGAACATGAGCGTCCACATGTCTCCCTGCTTCCGGTGAGTGACAGGATTAGTATTTTACGGGTCCGCGTGGAGTGGTCCTCGCCGTATTTGCCTATCACAACAAATACTACTTTGCTTTTCAAACCGTTCATTTTCTTTGGTTGCAAGAGGCTAGGTTTTCTTCATTAGATAAAGTTTAGCTATATATGTGCATGCTGTCTTGCCGAGACTCGCCAGTGCAGATAAATCGTCATCTGCATTGCGTTAACCTGTCTGAGACTCCTAATGTTCTTCTCTGTGCTGGAGTTTGTTTGAACACATAATTCCCCAATAGCTTGTTTAACGCCAGTTCAAAGTGGGAGGTTCATAGCGGTTTGAAAATGTGAGACAGTCATTAATGAGTTTTGCTCATAATCAAATACTAAATCATGCAATGGAATTATTCAAAATACATTTACTTGAACTTGAACTAACTCAGATAGATAATTTGGTCATTGGAGGTCACCGAAGCTGATATTTTTTGTGTGAAAATAATCCCTCATTTTTAGTGCTGCAATGCCAAACTGCCCTTCGCGAAATTTTTCTGTAATTAATGGCCGTATAGTAATTGCTATTGAGAAATGTTTTGCCGTCATCATTTTAACGGTTAGCTGAGCTGAGAGGTTTTTGACTAAATATAAGCGTAACTATTAAGCGATTAAACTATGGGGAATATTTGTTTCTGGTCCCTAAAAAGCTGTTTCTGGCACCTAATTGCTGATCAGCCCCAAAATGCTTATTCGACCCTAATATCTGAATCTGGCACCTAATTGCTTCCACACAGCCTAAAGTTGCCAGATCGTCTAGTTGAACTCCGTATTTGCTGTTTGCTGATTCAGCACCAAAACCAAAACATCCAGCACTTATTTTATTCCACGTTTGCCTACCTAATTCGCGTAATCTTCCCGATTTTATGTATCCTAACAAACATGAACGTTGCATTCGGTGATGTCAAGTGCCATTTTCGCCAGTAGAGATAATGATTAATGCCATTTCTAGCCAAAAGAGAATCACTAGCCAGCTATGGTGCAGTATAGCAAGACGCTCCTATACCAGCCCGCTATGTAGAGACTAGAGATTATTGCACCCTCAGCCATTTTAACGTGAAAAGTTTGGATCCGTCACTTCCAGCCAGGCTCTCAGGTCATAAACTGGAGTAAAGCAAAATGTAAACTCTGAACAGACATGCCACGCAACCGGCCCTCTTTTCAATATTATTAGCTTTCTGCAATCATCGTCTGACTCCATCTCGATCAAACGCAGCATCCGGTTTCTACAGGGGCGTTTGACTGACCGGCCACACAATAACCAAAAACAAAATCAAAGCTTTATGCACACATATGACATAAGTAAGAAACGGATGAAAAAGGCACAACCACGGCACAACTCTGCGCGGCAAACAACGGACAATGTCCCACGCAAGATCCCGCGTTTCTTCAGCGGCCTTGAACGGGATGAAAACATTACATTTCTTTTTTGGAGCTATTTGATGACGTCAAAAAATACAATACCCGTTTTAATGGTCAAAATCGAGACAATTACTCACAAAAATGTTTCCCTTTAAGCATTACAAATAAATGCTTTTAAATATTTAAATGACATTGTTTTTTCAAACAAATCAATATTATTTGCTTACTTAAACGTCATATACAATGCTGAGATCACTACGGGGCTGTCTTAGAGTGTAGCTGCACTGGCAACCTTTAGGCTAGACTCCAGGGGTCATTATACCAGAACAACATGATTCTACCAGCCAGTAGTTCATTTTTCTACTAGATTGGTGCTACGCTCAGCATTTAGGTGCCAGATTCAGAAAAAAAGAGTAAGGCGTACCGATGAATAGGTGCCAGAAACAGCTAATTAAGGTCATTTTCCATGATTGGTGCTGGTATCCACCAAGAGGACCAATTTTGGGGCGAGTCAGCTTTTAGGTGCCAGAAATAGCTTTTCTGGGACGCAATTAAATGGCGTCCTTAAAGGGACCCTCCCACCTTCAAAAAAGTTAATGAATTGGCATAAAAGTGATGTAGCGTGAATCACAAAGAGCGAAAATGAACATCTACCAAATTTTACCGGAAAATATTCACCCGTTTTCGAGATATAAGACTTTTATTTTTGTTTACTTTTTGGGAAATCCGCTGTTTCTATGACGTCACATAAAGGTTTTCTTTACGTCGGCATTTGGAAGCAAAAGTTTGGTATCAAAGTGCGACAAATATTGCGCGAATGATGCGTTTATCTTATCAAGGTCAATATATGATGGCCAATAAAGGATTCTTATGGCATTTCTTCGTATCGCAATTCGGTATATGTCAAGTTTAGGTCCTAACTACAATTGTGGCGCTTTTGATACAAATATGAAACAGCAATAATTTTAGGTTTTAGGTTAAGTTAGGTTGTAGGTTTGTAGGTTTTAGGTTGTAGGTAGGTAGGTTTGTAGGTTAGGTTAGGTTAGGGTAGGTTTGTAGGTTGTAGGTTGGTAGGTTATAGGTAAGTAGGTAAGGTTAGGTCAGGTTTGATTATGTTTTTTTCTTTTATTTGCGAGACATATGAGTATCATTTTTGGATTCAGGATGTCAAATAATGTAAGAATATGAAAAATTTATCAATGAAATCTTCTTAGGACTTAAACTTGACATTTACCCGCAATTCTTCGTCTGCAAATCTTCGTCAGGGCATTTATTCGTACCTATCGCATTACTTTGTCTCGCACCAGGGTATATGAAAATCGGCTCGCAATTCTTCTTCAACGCAAATATGTGCAAGAGTAAGCATTGAGGGACAAATAAATGCACCGACGAAGATTTGTAGACGAAGAAATGCGGACGAAAAATTGTGCTACGAAGAAATGTCATGCGAGGATTCGTTCGGGTACCATGACATTTATGTGATTTCAAAGTCAAGGTTCACAGCTGATCTGCTAAATCAAGCCAAGAATCCAAACTATCAAAAAACTATAAATATTTGTTTGTCTGTCACAGAGGTCTCAAGCAATATAAGGTTGACATATGTTGAATCAAAAATCTACTGCCACAACTCACATCTCCTGCCTTAGTTTATCATTGTTGTTTTAACTTGCTTTCAAGAGAAACAGAAGCCAGTATCTGATATCACTTCAGATGATTGTTTCAAGATCTGAGTTCAAATGGAAATAAAAGCAAGATCAAGATGAAACAGGGATTATTGCTGTTAAAGTAGTTTGGCCATGATACAACAAGCACATAAATCATTAGCCAAATCAAATACTGGTTGGTTTGTCAAGATGTTTGTTGTCTGTCGTCTGTCGAGCTGCTATGAACACTGAACGCTCTCACTCTTACTTTAAAGAGAGTAGTTTAAGTTGAATGGTAGTGAGCTGTAATTAGACAAAGCAGCTATTCAGTGCTCACATCAAGCCAGGCTAGGAAATGGCATCAACTGTGGTGGGAGGAAGCAGGTTCGGCAGCCCTATGTTGTAAACTTCTGTTATGTCTTGTGTTTGATCAACTGATGTTTTCTGCTCTGTTTTGTGCAGTGATAGTAGCAGGTAACTGCATGCTTGTCAAATTATGTGAATAAACGAATTCATAACATTGCATTTTTCTCTCCATGCAGGGAACAAGTAAGATGTTGTAGAAAATGTAATAGAGGGCTGCATTGCTGATTTTGCACTTTATCAGAGCTTTATTTAGAATTGCTTTCCTGAAAGCTACACACAGGCCACAGTGCTGAAATTCACAATGTCATAGCTTTTGGCAGAAAAAAGAAAAGACCTACCTAGGTAAAATTGGCTGAAAGTATGGCAGAGCAGGTCTTGATGCGTATGCCCATCCGTGTGCTTGCCGAAGCCGAACTGACTGCAACACATTTAACTCTGACCCACCATGGTGGCTGGCATATCCTGAACTTTCACCACTCTAAACAAGACAACTTTCAGCCCTCAGCATTGTATTAAAACACTGTACAAAACACTCAAAATTTGTTTCAGTGCCATCCACGGACAACATCAGTCGCCATTCACCAGGCCAGTAAAAACAGAATAGATAATAGCTTCAAACCCATGTAGTCAGAGTTACGGTCTGCACCTCAAAACAAAATCCAGGTGACATTCACCACGCCAGTAAAAAACAGGTACTTAGGTAACGTAACAGCTTCAAATCTGGTAACATGTTGGTCGGACTTAACACTACCATATTTACATGGAATAATATGATACCAAACAATAGTGCAACCATTCTGGACAACAAAAGTGTATGATAAAATTAATTTAGAATACTCTGGCAGCATGATTTACGCGCACAGGCAGGTGTTACCTACCAGCCTTCTCAATGCTCGTAAAACCAACATTGTAGTTTTGATTTTACCTTACATGATAACACACTTGGCTGCAATGGCACATTTAATTTAATACTGTGAAAAGACCAGTTATAACCACTTCACAAGCACAATTGCACCTCATGCCGACATCCTTTTCCAAAGACAGTCAGCAGCGTCTTTCGTCAAAACTGGAAGATAAATCCCCTTTCAACTGTTAACACCAAAAATATTTCTTCATTTTCTTCATGGTGTGACTGTGATCTCCATATGGAAACCTTGCAGGAAAAGAATTAATGTCAATTGTCAGCTCTTCAAATTTCTTTGGACTTTAACTTGCAGTACCATATCCAGTTTGCTTTGATATTTTGTTTTTTATTCCATGTTGAAGTTGAACACCAAGCTCCAGATATAGCAGGCAGCTTGATCATCTTCGGCCTTGGTATAATATCAGTCCAAGTTCCAGTGGTGGGTATCTTCTAATATTCAAATTAAAATGAAAAGCAATAGGCTTCCTCAGCGCCGACGACGCGGATTTCACGTTGATAAAAAAGGGAGCTCAAGGTCAGCAAAACTCGGGTTCAAGGAATGGCGGGCGTTGAAATGACTGCTGACGTCATCAAAAAACCGCTAATGGTTAAGAGATAGGGACTAAGCTGGTCCCACCCTGCAAGTAAAGGGAAGAAATTTCTTGAACACCATAAAGCTGCGGGGGTTGCGACCAGGATAAATGGTGGTTTCTGATCCTGGCCGCAAACTTGGCTATCTCAACTCAAAACTAATGTTAAGGTGGGATGGTCCCTTTAAACTATTTAGGCCTGGCTACACTACGTGTTTTCTGCGTGCGTTTTTTGCGTGTTTTGCGTAATATCGTTCTTGAAAAATAACGATAGGTATTATGTTTTTGCGATCTTTTTTATGACATTTTAGTTAAAATAAGAGCTATATGAAGTTTTGTTTATAACTAATGTAAAAATTATAATTTATAACTTTTCTAGAACGATATTACGCAATAAACGCAAACCCGCAAAAACGCAAGCAGAAAACGCATAGTGTAGCCACTAGCCAGGCCTTAACAGGTGCCGCTAAATCCTTTGTGGTCGGGTGCATCAGTCCAGGTCGCTTGAGACCGTTCATTATAAAGCAACTGTCATCGTCCTTATACACCTTTTTGCGCTAGCTTTTGACCATTGGGCAAAACATTTGTACACACTCGCCATATAGGTGGTGCTACAAATGGTCGGATGGTCACAAAGAATCACCATTGTGCAAAACTATTCGGCGATCTTCCTCTATAACTCGACATTGAACGATTGGCTCAACATTGTGCAAAACAAATCGTCAATGGTCGAAACTATTCGTCATGTGCCGAGCTGGCTCGCTCAATGCCGAAGTTTGGCAAAGTGACTAACTGTTTTGCAGAACGCTAACTTCAGTGTTCAATCCGTTTTCCTGAATGACTCGAATGAAACACACCACGCCGGAATAGTTGTGTTCAATGCTGATTGTCGAAATGGCTCCCCAAACAGTAATGTACTCCAGGGATATGTGCTAAGGTTATAGAAAACGTGTGACCTTGTATCTAAACCAAGTGTCCTGAAAATCTTTTTTTTTTGCTACATTCGTGAAAAGGCTCGTCAAAAAATTGAAAAGGACCATATTTGTGCGTAACATTTCCGCATCACTGCATTGTATGGGTGCTGTTTCGAATCTCCGTCTGTACCATTTGCCCCGATGACACATCCCGTTCTCTGTTCTCAGGGACGTGAAGATCGGCGACACGGTGACCGTGGGCGAGTGCCGGCCTCTGAGCAAGACCGTTCGCTTCAACGTGCTCAAGGTCGTCAAGAGCTCCGGCTCGAAAAAGTCATTCGCCAAGTTCTGAATCATGCAACGCCGATGAAAATAAATAAGAAATGCCACTTCGTTCTTTTTTTGGATGGCGGGGATTCAGTCATGAGACCAAATGGATGAAACGGATCAAATGACGAGGATTAGGCTTCATGTTGATTAAACCTCATTGCTGTGCCGACACCACCGACGATAGGGCTCCTGTTTATACTTTTATTCGGGCCTATTTTCACACACTATCGTAAATGTGCACCAGACTCCGGTCTAGTTGGATGGCTGAATTGAGCTACAAGCGAAACAATTACGGTCATGCTGCTCGGCGACCTCTCGCCGATGATCACCCTCCTGTGAGCTCCTTTTACTCGCGCTTGCTAGTGTCATGTGCCTGAGGCTCGCCAGTCAGGTCGGGGTGCTGTCCTGAGCGCAGGCGACATCTATCGACGTGTTCTTCGTGTATTACTCGGCAGGGCCTCCTCTAAGGAATTTCCACTGGGGGGGGGGGGGGGCCGGAGGCTCAGAAGCCAAACCTAAGGTACCCCCAAATCCGGTTTTCTCATCGGATTTAGGCCACTTATTTCCTCACAGCCCTGATGCCATGATTTTTATTTTTATTTTGAAAAAAAAAAGAAATAGTAGGCCACCTGACCCTATACCGGTGGATCCAGACCGGCACGGGCAGGGTGACATTTGGGGTAAATATTCCCCGCAGCGTCCGAAATCGACGAAAATTTCCGGCTTTCCGAAAATGAAAAAATGCCTTTATTAAAAAAAGTATTAAACGGCACAGCAGTTCGTAAGGACTCTAACCGTCCGCAGAAAAAGTGAGGGCTTAGGTATCGATTTTCCAAACGCTGGAAACCAACGGCTACCTGCCTGAAAACAGCTCACCATCCTAAAAAGCTACTTGTCTGAAAATGACTCAAGAAACAGGCCACAGGTCAATGAGAATGGGGGTTAGGGAACAGGGTAATTACATTGTCAGGAAATGTGTAGAATTGAAGCAATCTGACGATAATACCTACATTTGCCACGCTGGGTCACTTTTTATGCGAGTTATTCGCAAAAAACCTAGGGGTGGGGTCTAACATAATTCATACCCCTCAATAAGTGAGAGGGCTTATCGCTGCTAGTCCAAAACACTGAAAAAAACTTTTATATCGTGCTATAAAGCTCAGCCGCACTCTTATTTGCTCATAGAAAAATTTTCTGTTCAAGAATAAACCCGTCTCCCGAAAAAAAAAACATAATACTTCTCCGTGTTGAACCGTAAGCGCTTGACTGAATGAGACTATAGAGGGCGACCGTTCGGACTTTGGGCTGTTTCCTTCTCAAAATGATGCCCCGTTCGGGCTTCAGTCGGCGTTCGATTAAAAAATCTGCAATGTCTGACCTCATTCCGCGGCTCATCCTAGGCGGATATGTAAAAAAAAACCCTGTATATAAGAAACCAACGATATAAGGAAACTAAAATTAGCAGCGTGGTGATCGTGGAGATAGTCTGGATTGTTTGTTTGGTAAGCTTATAGTGAAATTTCCTCGGTTTTCTACGTGATTTGCTTAACTGCGTGGCCCCCCAGTGACGCGATTTCAGCTCCACTGGGGGGGCCAGCGGCACCACTGGGGGGGCCGCGGCCCCCCCAGTTAACATGTTAGAGGAGGCCCTGTTACTCGGGATACAATCTGCACTCGTATCGTACATACATCTGCGGTGTTGCGCGGCTCACATATGCCGGTGGATGGGCCGCCCTGGTTCATAACTTTTCCCTCTGTGGCTACCCAGCACGGCTTCGAAGTGATCCATGCATGTAATCAACTTCTACGATGAAAAGTTTCAATGTGCTTTTGTATCTGGCATTGGGCTGTACGAATCATGGTTCGTAATTCTTTCCCATGGTGCTCTAAGGCCACTTGCGCCTTTCTATTCGAGAATTCAGCCGTCGGTGTGGGGTATGAACGCAAATCAAAGATCTGTGACCGACCGCACTCTTCGTAGATGTGGGAACTGTGGTTCGGCTTCTGAGCGCAGAACCGTAGGACTATTGATTAATGCATTGCATACCTCTGGATATCCTAGTGCGCTGTGAGCAATGCTGTACTCTGATGGAAGGCACCGCCCGCGCACCTAATGATCACTGGTAACGGTGGCCCGTCCGCCTAACAGAAATCTAGCACCAAGCTGGTATTGCATCAAACTTTTCCATTGTGTGACGTCATGACATCGTCAAAAGTGCGTATAGAGTTACCACTTATTTGATAGTCACATGCGCGGCCTCACGTAGATCATTTCCTTCGCGCTTATCAGGACCCACTAATTGCGTTACATCGATATCTCCAGCAACGCATGAACAATAAAGCCCAATGCAATGCAACCAAGATAACCATAAAAGAAATTATGCAACAGACGGTCGGACGGTCGTTCAAGGACGGTCGACTGTAAGTTGCGACTCTTGCCACTAGGTGGCAGCAGCGAGCGCCTGATAGTATGCTGTGCCGCAAAGCATACAGCAAATCCCATCCGATTCTTAGCTATAACTCATTTACCTACGGGCTTTGTCGGCATTAACGGTAACCCGCGCCCCGTTGGGGTCTTCCGAGCAACGCGCCCTGTTGGGGGGGGGGGGGGACATTTTGCCCCCCTCCCCCTAAGATCTCGAGAACCACGCAACATAGCGACAAGCAGCAAACGGTGTTGGATAGCCCCAACGGGAAACTACCTTGTGACCCAATCAATTTCATTGACCTCGGTCAGACCGATGACGTCACAGGTTATGTCAAATGACGAATTTTCACAGTTTACAGGCATTTCAAGAAATGTGTTGTACAATCGAGTAAAATGCATTTCATTGAAAAACATCGATGGGGTCATTCGTCAAACACATATTTTGCTATTTGAGGTCACTGATACCAGGTCAGGTCAGCGAGGGTCACAATATGAAAATATCATGTGATGCATGTTTCATGGTCCATTTTACATGCCAAATGCGATTATGTGGGTCAGGCAGCCTTTGGCGTCAGTTGAGATTATGTTCTGGTGAAGGTCAGATCAATGTCAGGTGACAGGTCAAATTAGGTCAGATTTCAAAGTTGATATTTTCGCATAAAATGAGTATCGATTCGATGCAGCTCGTCACGGGAAATTCAATGGTGCCTGGTGGTCATTGTTTTGCGCTAGGTGTTCTATAATTGCTAAAAATTGAGTTCAAAAATTAAACGTCATCAATTTTGAACAGTTTCTACGCTATACCTAGCTTGGCCAAAAAAGGAGGTATTGATTTACAATTTGGCATGTAGATAGAAGAGATCAGGGTCTACCACATATATTTCGTTTATTCGAAATTCTAAAAACTTTTAGGATTTTTTTAGTTTTTCTTAAAAAGATCAACTCTTAATTTTTGGGGTCAAGATCCCAAAATTTTGAAAATCCGAGAAAATAGTTTTGTAGCGCCGTCTTTTCTCTACATGACCATATTAAGAAAGTTAACCCGCGAGTTGCTGGGGGGGGGGGCTTGTTAACCCGCGCCCTGATGGGTCTGCCGAGCAACGCGGTCTGATGGGGGGGGGCATTTTGCCCCCCCCTAAGATCTCGAGAACCACGCAACATAGCGACAAGCGGCAAACGGCGTTGGATAGCCCCAACAGGGAACTACCTTGTGACCCAATTTTATTGACCTCGGTCAAACCGATGACGTCACAGGTCAGGTCAAAGGTCGAATTTTCACCGTTTACAGGCATTTCAAGAAACGCGTTGTAAAATCAAGTAAAATGCATTTCATTGAAAATCATCGATGGGAAAATGTTCTTCAAACACATATTTTGCTATTTGAGGTCACTGATACCAGGTCAGGTCACTGGGGGGGGGGGGGGGGTCACAATATGAAAGTGTCGTGTGATACATGTTTTATGGTCCATTTTACATGACAAATGCGATTATGTGGGTCAGACAGACTTTTGGGCCAGCTTAGGTCACGTTTTGGTCAAGGTCAGGTCAAATTAGGTCAAATTTCAAAGTTGATATTTTTGCATAAAATGGGTATCGATTCGATGCAGCTCGTCACGGGGAGTTCAATGGTGGTCTTCGTTTTGCGCTACGAGGTCTATAATTGCTAAAAATTGAGTTAAAAAATTTGACGTCATCAATTTTTAACAGTTTTTTCGCTCTAACTTGGCCAAAAAAAGAGATATCGATCTGAAATTTGGTATGTATATCGAAGAGTGCAGGCCGCAGGGACTATCACATATATTCCGTTTTTCGAAATTTGAAATTTTTTTGGGAAATTTTTTGAGTTTTTCTAAAAAAAATCATTTTTTTATTTTTGGGGGTCAAAATCTCAAAATTTCGAAAATCTGAGATAGCAGTTTTGTAGCGCCGTCTTTTCTCTACACAACCACATAAAGGACTTTAAAATTGCTTGGTAACTGTAGAATTGGTGAGCGTTTCAAGATGTCATGTTTTTTGCTCATTTTTACTCGAACATGACCTCAGTTTGACCTCAATGACTCCTGACCTGAGGTGACCTGTGACTTGAAATTTTGTGTGAAGGTGTCAAATCGATGCCCGGTAAGGTACCCAAAATTTGGCGTCGCTGCGCGCCGCCGTTTTCTCGCTATTTAAGAAAAACCACAGGGGGGCCAAAATGGCCCGCGAGTTGCTGGGGGGGGGGGGGGCGTTAAACGCCTCCACTCTTTTCGCCGCGCCATAGCATAAAAACGGCGCGCCAAATTTTGGATACCTGTAGGGAATTGATTGAAGTTTATTGTGACAAAGCTTTAAAAAATCGGTCTGAAAATTTTTGAGATATCGAGGTTTTAGTGACGTCATAATTTCTGAGTTTCGACCAAAAACGGTATATGTTCAAAAAATCATATAAAATCACAGAATAGACATACAGACATGCCGTAAACGCTATTAGACTGCCAATACCATGAACAATCAAATGGCGATCTTCGATTTTTGATTATCGTTCCTCATTTTCCAAAATCTTAAACTGAATCTTGGCAATTTCGCGTGACTACTTTACGACCATGACACATGCATTTCTTAAATTGGACTTTTTTAGCCAAACACGTACACATAT